TAATTATTTGTCTTTTCTTTGACAAATGGATTTGCCTTATGAATTTGAAATTTCAACTTAATCAACAGTGATTATATCAATACAGCTAAAAATAAACTATCTGCAATTTAGGTCTTTATGACCTCAGAAATAATTTAATTGACATATAACATTGCACTAGTTTTAGGCATACAATGTAATAATTTGATATTTGTATTGCAGAATGGTTACCACAAGTTTTGTTAACATCTATCACCACGGAGTTACAATTTGTTTTTGTAATGAAAAACTTTAAGAACTTTTCTCTTAGCAGCTTTCAAATATGCATACAGTATTACTGACGATAATCACAATTGGGTACACTACATCCCCAGGATTAATTTATCTTATAACTCATTTTGCTCACCTTTCCAACCCCTGTCTCTGGCAACTACCAAACCATCACTCATTTCTCTGTATCTATGAGTTTTTGTTTTGTTTTGTTTTCTAGATTCTATATATTAATGAAATCACACAGTATTTGTCTTTCTTTGGTTTACTTCAGGAAGTAAATTTTAAACATTTTTTATGTTTATTATGATTTTTTCCTTTATTTTTTATTTTTATTTTATCTTTTTATAGAGGGAGGGAGAGATGGAAGGAGAGGCAGAGGGAGAGGGAGGGAGAGAATCTTAATCAGTCTCCATATGCATTACACAGCCCGACTCAGGGCTTGATCTTACAACCCTGAGATCATGACCTGAGTTGAAATCAAGAGTCAGATGCTTAGCTAACTGAGCCACCCAGGCACCCCATTCAGGAAATAAATTTTAAAAGAAATCTTAGAAATATATATTCTCAAGATTCAAAACAGATATACGTAAAGGAAATAAAAATAACTATGAGATAAGCAACATAGGAAAAATTAAAATATTTATTTCTACTTACAAATTCACCCCCAAAGAGAAAATATAAATATGCTTCCAGAACAAACATTAACCAGTTATTCAAAGAACATTAACCAATCATCAGGAAGACAGTCAACAGGACCAAAGTTACTCCCCGAATCCTGACTAATGACAAACGCTTGTTGTAGACACTTTACCTAAGAAAACACACATATATGCACACATATATAAACCTTTAGTGATATTGAACCTATAGACTCACACTGCCATACAATAAAAATGGATTATTATCCAGACAACTCATTATCAACATTAGCCAAATTATGGTAAGAGCCCAAAGGTCTGTTGACTGATGAAAGGTCAAGAAGATGGACTATTACTCAGCCATCAAAAAGAACAGAATCTGGCCATTTGCAAGAACTTGGATGGAATTGGGAGTATCATACTATGCGAAATAAGTTAGTCAGAGAAAGACAAACACCCTATGATTTCATTCATATGTGTAATTTAAGAAACAAAGCAGATGAACATAGGGGGAAGAGGAGAGAGAGGCAAACCGTAAAACCATAGAACAGATTCTTAATGACACTGAGGGTTGATGGAGGGAGGTAGGGGGGGATGGTCTAGATGGGTGATGGGCACTAAGGAGGGCATTTGTGATGGGCCCTGGGTGTTTAGGTAAGTGTTGAATCACTAAATTCTATACCAGAAATCAATATTACACAGCATATTAACTGACTGGAATTTAGATAAAAACTTGAAATAAAAAAAAAACAGAAATAAAAGGGCGATATCTAAACAGTTTTCAGTTTTCAACATATGTCTTTCATATGTAGAGTGAACAGGAAGTTGTTATCAAAAACTAAGGTCTCATGGAAAATTTGCTCTAAAGACTATAGCAGCATGCTGAGAAATTAATAAAAAGTCAAAAAACAAAGTCTCCTAGAGTGGGAAGTTGTGTTGCTTGCTGAAGGGCTTACACTTTCTGCCATTAGGCTGGAATCCGTCTCGACTCTGTTTTGGTTGGCGATGTTTGTGTTGCAGAGGAAACAGAGACCTGAAGCACTTTGTTTCATTGGTTTTTATTCCTTTCTTGGCAATAAGAAATGTATTTCCCTTGTCATATGTTAACAGTTCAAATATAATATAATGCCTTGCCATACAGCTTAACGATCATTAATATATTCTCAGAAATTCTCTTTCCAGCCCTTGGTTAAACGCTTTGTATGTTTTGGGCAAAGTCCCAGGAAGACTAGTTTATTTGGCTACAGGTCATAAATGCTATCTTTGAGAAAAGTTAATTTTCCACATTCTTTGCCCTTGTTTCCAAGATATGAGCAATAGAGGAAGAATCTGGGGGAGCTAAGTTTCTCCTGTGGCCCACCCTCTCCACACTACGTCAGTTTACCTAGGAGTCCTTAGAGGTTCCTGGCTTAGCCTGGAAATAGAATGGACGGAGTATATCCAGTTAAAAACAAATATAAGATGATCAGAAAACAGATCACATCGGACTTACTTAGTGTATGAAGCAAAACTTTGATTGAACTCTCCCTGAGGGCTTCATTCCCAAGCTATGGTAGACTTTGGGGACAGAGGAGTTTCCATAGCAACCACAAAGAAAAGGTGATGCAACTAGTTCAGGGAACTTTTATCTAATTGATGAAGACTCTGAGTATGTTTTACAGCAAATACTCTACATTTTCTTCTTGGAGGGAAAGAGACAGTAAAACCAAATGAGTACTGAGAAGTCTGACTTATTGTGCATGAGAAGGCAGCCATGTTAGGGGGAGAGAGGAATGCTGACAAACTGGGCTCCTTCTTACTTTAGTTCTTCATGCCATCTTTAAAGAGGAGAGAGCATATTAGAATGTAAGTTGAGAACTTCTAAATCATTTTCTGTTCTTTCTATTTGATTTTCAACAAGTTCAAGAGAGCACAACTTGTTTTAAATGGCATTAAAATAAATTATATATTTGAGTGACAGCCAGGACGGGCATGATCCTCCTGTTTGTTGGATGACTGAGAAAAATCTAAGAAGAGGTAATTTATGTAGAGATAAATCTAGGTTTTGCAACTGGATCGCAATATACTCACATAAGTATAAAACAGGACTGATGCTTTAGTAGAAGAAGAAGGGAAAAGATATTGCACTGAATTCAACTTGCATCCCTGTCTATACCACCTGGGTGATTTCCTTGCTAAGGGAAGATTATCACAGGCTGTGTTGATATTATGCTAGTGCTCTGAATACGAAAGCTGGTTGTGTTTCCCCACTCTGTGTGGTTTGATTTTTATGGAGTAAGCACCAAATGCAGCAGAGAACCTGAGAAATTAAAATGTGCATGAAAGGTCTGGATAGCTTTAGAAACCAAGGATGACAAGGTATTGTCTGGGAGCTTTGGGCGACTGCCAAGTGGAAGACTGAGAGGTAGTGTTTGACGGACCCTGGAGGAGTTCCCAGACTCTTGAAGAGACCTAAGCAAGAGCTGAGTGTGATGGGTGGACTGTCTGCCTGGCCATCAGATTGTTCTTTTTAATGGCCTAAAGCAAAGGAGCTAAGGTAAGCTGCATTACTGGTCCCAGAGGAGACATTGCTAAAGTCAAGTAATACATTTCAGATTAGAAAACTGGAGGAAAAGTGTCTAGCCTAAGTATGATGTTGCACTCCAATAGTCCTAGGCTAATAAAACTTTTTAAAAGTAAAGTATAGGGGTTCCTGGGTGGCTCATCTGGTTAAGCGTCTGGCTCTTGATTTCAGCTCAGCTCATGGTCTCAGGGTCGTGCGATCAAGCCCTGCATCAGGTTCCACACTCAGCGGGGAGTCTGCTTGAGATTCTCTCTCTCTCTCCCCCTGTTTCTCCCCCTACTCTCTTTCTCTCTCTCTTAAATAAATCTTTAAAAAATAAGTTAAGTATAAGTAGGGTTCAAGAGTACTTAAACATCTTCCTCTCATGCTAAGCAGATGAGAGTTCTAAGAGAGTAAGAGTTTTAGTTACACTGAACATGTGAAGCAACCCATGTTCAAAGACCAGCTGACCTAACCAAGGGCACCCTGAGAGGGTGACAAGGGATAGATGGAGGGTATACAGGTGGGAGAATTTAGGCTCTTTTCTAATGTTCTTCCCTGTGTGTTTCCATAAAGGTGATACTCAAGGGCACCAGTCTCTTATACTATGGGCTTCCCACTAGTGGCCATTGGCGGTAACCTCAACACCAGGAGTAGGCAGCCAAACACACATCATTCCGTACTCATAGTGAAGTGGATTTTGCATCTCTTTGTGAGGAGTGGAATTGTGAATACACAATTTCTGCAGCGACAAAGGAAAGAGCACAGTCCGTTTGGACAAAAACATGTGCAAAGCCCATCTCTGCCAGTCACCAGCATGAATGTGCATTGACCTTCAATTTTCCTCCTAAGTAAAAGGAGATAATGATACTTACCTTGCAGACTTATTCAATGAAGCATGCAAGGCAAAAATACTAGCAATTATTGTGCACTTAATATGGTGCTCAGTGAGACTCTGCTAAGTGCTTTGCATGCGTTATTTCATTGTACCCTCACACCAAATTTACAAGGTGGGTGTTACTATGATCATTCCTGTTTCACAGTGAGGACTTCCCCAGGTTCAGAGGCGGTGGGCTCCAGAGTTGAAGAACATGCATTTAGCCTTGGGTTATAATCGCAAAGTGCACGGAGTACCTTCTAAAACTGAGTGGCTGCTCATTTCTTCTGCAGCTTGTCTCACTTCCACTCTGCTGTGTGTGTTCACCTGGTGAACGCAAGCAAAGTTCACTGAAGTGAGCGTTACTGGACATCTGTTCTGGAGCCATCTCTGTGATCAGCTGGCCATGGGACCTTTAGCAACCTGCTTCTTTTTTCCTGGATTTTTGTCTTCTCCTTTCGGCATTGATGGATTTCTGCGGAGTCTTAATATATGACAGCTTCAGATCTGATCTTCCACCTGGGTCCCTATCTCACTTGCGTTTCCTTGGCCACAGGATGCAATGAAGTCATATCACCCCTGAGGTTCTCCCAGTTACTGGTATATTTTTTTCTGTGTCCCATTTTTGAAGATGTGTTCACCAAATCTGTTGTGATTCCTCTGTTCTTCTAGTGGAAACCGGAACCAGCCAATGGCCATTGAAAATGACACGAGGGTCACTGAATTCATTTTCACAGGTTTGAGTTACAACCCCCAGTTTCAGGTCTTCCTCTTCCTGCTCTTCCTGAGTTTCTACCTCATCAATCTCACCGGAAACTTGGGTATGATTATTCTGATTCGGGTTGATTCCCGCCTTCACACGCCCATGTACTTTTTCCTCAGCCACTTGTCCTTTGTGGACATCTGCTTCTCCTCTGTTGTGAGCCCCAAGATGCTCATTGACTTCTTCGTGAAGAGGAAGGTCATCTCTTTCTTGGGCTGTGCTTTGCAACAGTGGTTTTTTGGGTTCTTTGTGGCAGCAGAGTGTTTTCTGCTGGCGTCCATGGCCTATGACCGCTATGTGGCCATCTGCAACCCATTATTGTATTCCGTTGCCATGTCCCAGAGACTGTGTAACCAGCTGGTGGTTGGTCCCTACATCATCGGGTTCGTGAACACCATGACCCATACAACGAATGCATTTCATCTTCCTTTTTGCGGCCCCAATGTCATTAATCATTTCTTCTGTGATATGTCCCCCCTGCTTTCCCTCGTATGTGCTGACAGCAGGCTTACTAAGTTGGTGGTTTTTGTTGTGGCTGGAACTGTGGGAGTCTTCAGTGGTCTGACTATCGTGGTCTCCTACATTTACATCCTCATTGCCATCATGAAGATCCACTCTGCCGAGGGCAGGCACAAAGCCTTTTCTACCTGTTCTTCTCACCTGACGGCTGTCTCCATCCTATATGGTACTCTTTTCTTTATTTATGTACGGCCTAGTGCAAGTTTCTCATTGGATATCAATAAAGTGGTGTCGGTGTTTTACACAGCAGTGATCCCCATGTTGAACCCGCTTATCTACAGCTTGAGGAACAAGGAGGTCAAAGATGCCATCCACAAGACGGTTACTAGGAGGAAGATGTGTAGGGTCTAAATTCTTATGGAGAAAGGAAATTGAGGAAGAAATCTAAAAAGGCAGACTAACTGTGTGGATTCCTAAGATTCCAGGACATTTGCAAGTGTTGGGGGTTGGTTTGCAGCCCTAATTCATCTCTCCACTTACTCCTTCATCTAGTCAATTAATGTGGATTCATTCAGCCTTGTATATGATCTTTTATCTGTGATATACTAATATTAGAGTTCACATCTATTGTCTGTTTAATTTTGCTTCTCTCAGACACCTCACAGCCCAAATATTTGAAAAGAAGCTTTATTGGGGCGCCTGGGTGGCTTAGTTGGTTAAACGTCTGCCTTTGGCTCCGGTCATGATCCCAGGGTCCTGGGATTGAGTCCTATATTGGGTTCCCTGCTCACTGCTTCTCACTGCTTCTCCCTCTCCCTCTGCTGCTCCCTCTGCTTGTGTGCTCTCTCTCTCTGTCTCGTCAAATAAAAATCTTTCAAAAAATAATTTTAAAAAAGTTTTATAACTTAATTTCAGTTATTAATTTTTTGTCATTCTGCTAATATACTTTCTTTTCCTGTTGACTCATTGACATTGGAATTTTTAAAATGCAGTGCTCTGGGGGTGCCTGTGTGGCACAGTCGGTTAAGTGTCTGATCCTTGGTTTTGGCTCTGGTTCTCAGGGTGGTGAGATCGAGCCCCACCTCAGGCTCTTCACTGAGTGTGGAGTCTGCTAAAGACTCCTTCTCCCTCTGCCCCTCCCCCACTGCATTTTCTTTCTCTAAAATAAATTTAAAAAATTAAAAGAAAATGCAGTGCTCTGGATTTTGCACTTACATCTAGCTCCCATCAATAGGAATCTACTAAAAAAAAAAAAAGATGTGGGATTTTATGCTTAACCTCATGAGTGGAATGAAATCATTGGCTGTATACACTAGTTTTTTTGGGTGACCTTGACGCAAAGAACTATGTATATCTCAGGGACTGGAAATGGATCTGTGTTCACCTCCGGCAGGTGGATGGTTTATAGGGATTGTTTATAGTAATAGAGACTTGTGTTCATCTCTAATGCATTCAACACTGAAAGAGCTTCCAATAGAAGGTATTAAGCCTATATTTTCTCAGAATTCAGTTTTCTGGAGGATGTTGAGAGATTTCTTACCTAGTGTTCTGCAGGTTGGGACTTGGTTGTATACGTGATGGTGCCTTTAAAACCCTGGTAATAAAGCTTATTACCAGGCCAAGAACATACAGAGAAATGCCATAGTTGAAGGTAGACTCTTAGTCTAGACCTACCTGTTTCTAGTAAGGTCAGTAGTTTTGTAGCATCACAAGAGAGTTCATACACACAGCTCAATTTCATTATTATGACTCCAGGGTCATGTGAGTGATGGGCAGCCTTTGGGTCTGAAAGCCATCGCTGTGTATGGAGACTGGGTTCCCATACCAGGGTCTCCATGTCCTCTCAGAGACCCAACAAAGTGACCTGATTCTATCTTATCTTTCTTGATATAGCTTTACCTCTTGATTTGATGATGAAGACACAAAAAGCCGAGAGTTTCATGGAGGAACTGGATCAGTATTCCTACATGACATTATAATATCATGGCTTAATCATTATAGAAATGTCCTCAGGATTTTAAGGAACTTCCATATCCATCTATATGCTTAAGATGATTTTAGCAAAGTTGATTAAGAAGCTTTTACTAGGAGTCATGGTATCTCTAAATAAATAAATAAATAAGTGAATGCATGTTCTAAACTTCTGAGTACTTTCTATGTACAAAGTATTATGGGTTATTTTCTGTTGATTATTGTACAACACACAGTCTCTGAAAATCGAAAATTGATCAAAGAGTTTCCACAAAATCATGGCATGCTTTGTAGCTATGGGGCTTTAGAGATAATTTAGCCTAACCAGATTACCAGCTCAGGGAAAAAATGTTTTTTTTTTTTTATTAACTTATGCTTAATAAAAGCCCAAAATATGACTTGCTATCTGATGTATTTATGATAGACTCACTTAAAATTTAGAACGTTGTTTTACAGTGAATTTCCCAAATGGAATAAGGTTTTATCAAGACCATTCATTGGTAGAGAAACAACATAATATAATTAGAAAATTTAGAATTGGAAAATGTCTGCATTCATTGATTCAACAAATAATTATTGAACTTCTTCCACGTGCCAGGCATGGAACTTCGTGTCACATATAACAGTGAAGAAAACAAACATCATTCCTGCATCTGTACAGTTTGTAGAACAACAGATCTAAGATATTCTTCTGTTCATTACCCTTTTGATGGGTCAGTCAAGTCCATGAGGACATACACAGAAATAATGATAATATCAACCTTATCATAGATTATAATGAAGATTAAATTAAAGAATGGATGTGGAATCACTTCATAAAGTATAAACATGTTTTGCTGTTTCCCAATAAAAGCCATTCAATGCAAACAGCAAAAGTATGGAACCAGAGTGTTATTGGAAGTGTGTCATGTAGTATGTTGGGGTGCCTGGGTGGCTCAGTCTGTTAAACGGGTGGCTCTTGATTTCAGTTCAGGTCATGATCTCAGGGTCCTGGGATCTAGCCCTATCTCAGGCTCCTCACTCAGGAAAAAAGAACGAGCAGTGTGTGAAGAAGGAATATTTTTTTGGGTGGGTCAATCTTTACTTTGAAATATGACTCAGAGCAGGATGAGCAAAGGTAAGGCTAATTGCCAAAAAAATATCTAGGGGTAATGGTGCATTTTCTCAGCTTCAAATGGATGCAAAAAATGAAAGATTTGACTATTATTGTAAAGCTTCCATAGGTCAAAGAATTAAAAGTCTATATTTTATTTTATTTTTTTAAGATTTTATTTATTCATTTCACAGAGAGAAAGAACCCAAGCAGAGGAAGTGGCAGGCAGAGGGATAGGGAGAAGCAGCCTCCCCGCAGAGCAGGGAGAGTCCAGTGTGGGGCTCCATCCCAGAATCCTTGGATCATGACCAGAGCCAAAGGCAGTTGCTTAACCAACTGAGCCACCCAGAAGCCTCTAAAAGTCCATTTTAAAAAGGGGGGAATATTTGTAGGAAATACATACTTGATACTTTTCTTATTATGTATTTTTGGAAAGAGCTTGTAGGTGTGTGGAAAAAAGATTCTGAACAGACTATTAGGAGAAAGGAAATTCTTAATGGAGGCAGGAAAGTGTCTCAACATGATGAGTATAAAAGGGACATTAGAAAAAAATGTTTTTTTGTCAAGGATTGAATTAAAAGATTTTTTTTTTAAATAAATGTTGAAAGAAATTTCAAAATACTTAACAAGTGAGTCAAATGTTCTTGTAATGGGACCTCTAATGCCAGATGCAGGATTACTGGCTCCTTCTCTTGGGGGTTCTTTTGTGGGTTCCTCAGAGTAATCCAGTAATCCCAGTTATCCCAGTTCAGATAATCTGTCCTAAGGAAATAATCCAAAATGCAGGGTTGGGTTGTGGTAGCACCTTTTATTCAGAAATGTGGTTGTATGTGTTCATAGTCTAAGTACACCTTGTTTCATTAGCTAGTAGCTAAAAGTGGCCTTCTCTTTCCTTTAAGGCCTGATTATGATTTGGCTCAAATTCCCATCTTTACTGGCTGGGAGAAATGTAGGTGATACCAGAGTCTCTTGTCCCTGTAGTTCAGAGCATCCTCAGGGGAGGAGCACACAACTACTGTTGCTCTCCTTCCTTCAAGGCTGCCTCACACTGCTTCTGCTCCACCCACGGGTCCTGATTCCCATTGTGCAAACCTCCTCTTCTGCTTCCAGGGATGGACACTCTTCCAAGACCCCACCATTTCCTCCTGAACCTGCAAATACACTCTCTTAATTCTAAGCCACCCACAGCATAGTTGAGGCCAGCCTGCAACTTCTGATGAGACTAGTAGAGAATGGAGGTAATGTAGAGTAGTGTGATTCCAAGGGATAATGTGTTGCTACAACATGGCTGCCTTGAGTCTGCAGGTGGCTTGCTTGGTGACTCCAGAGGGGCAATACCACAGGACAAAGGAGTCCATCCACAGACCCTTTGTCTAAGGTTTGGCAACTCCTGGAACAACACCACATGTAAACCCTCACAGCTGGGTCCTGGCTGAGTTTATCCAACCTGAATTCACTTCTTCATCTAAAGGTGGCTTCCTATGGAGTTTCAACCCAGAATTTCTAATTTAAGGAGAGCATACTGAATACTGAATCAACCACAATTCACAGGGGTACCACAAGTTCACACTTAGAAAAGAATAATTTATCCCCAAAGAATCCTGTCCTTCAAACATGCACCACAGTAAAAATACATATACAAATATACATACATATATATATTTTACACAGAGATAACATAACCAGTGGAGACATAAAGTGTTTAACTGAAAGAAGAGTGCCATAAAATATACTTAGTTTTACCACCTGCAGTACACCTTGATTGCTCAATTTCAGGGACTGGCCACCTGTGGTCTGGGGGCCAAATCCAGCGTTGCTTGAAAGCTAGGAATGGTTTTTATATTTTTAAGTGGTTGGATAAATCAACAGAAGAATAATGTTTCATGACTGTGGAAATGATGTGGAATTCAAATGTCAGTGTCCATAAATAAAATTCTGTTGGAATATAGCCATTGTGTTACATGGGTTCTTCAATGGCAGCCTTATTGGCATTTTAAGGATTGGATGATTCTTTGTGGTGGCCATTGTTCCTCGCACTGTGGGATGGTTAGTCACATTCTTACCTCTACCATCGGAGGCCAGTAGCCTCCCTGCCCTGCTTATTGCCTCAAAAATGAATCCAGATGAGCTCTGTGGGTTGAAAACATGTAGGTCACAAACCCCTGGTTTGAGGCTTGCCTGTGGCTGCTTTGGGGTTATAAAAGCAGAGTTGAGTATTTGTCCCAAAGACAGTCTTCCAGCAAAGCCTATAATATTTCATATTATACATCTTTTTATGGGACAAGTTTGGTGACTCTTGCTTTACTCCCATTATTTTATCCATTCCATTCCATTCCATTCCATTCCA